AAAACAACTAATAATTTTATTTCTCAATAAATAAATTAATCCTATAGGAAATAAATAACTTTCCATAAGTTAGTCACGTAATAAGATGCACGAAACATCTGAGGCCTGTTCACATATAGGATTTAAATTTCACATTTAAAGGAAAGAAAAACATACATACATTATTATTCAATAACAACAATCTAATGATTTATTGGTGCTATTTTCTTACAAGCTCTATCGGTCCTTTACCACAGCCTTCCTCTGTCTTTCTCTCCTTCTCTGCTCAGCTAAAAGATCCGGCCAAGAGAAACACACCGGAGAGGCCGACGAGGCAGGAAGACGGAGAGAAAGCTCAGAAAGGAAAGGGCTGGCGGCCAAGTGTCCCCCTCAGGGAGAATGGCCAAGCTCAAGTCAGCTTGTCAGTGCGCCAGCAGCTGAAACATGACCAAGCTGGTCTTATATCCCTATTTAGAGGAGGTGAAAACCATGCGCTGCCTCTGGGAGATGAAGTTTGAAACGGAGGTATCCACAGAGCTCATAAATTCCAATTAGAAGATACTCAATCTAGGTCACAAAGTATTTACGTTTTGTCCAAGGAGCACCAGCAGACAATGATGAAAGATGCAATTTGCTCATGTTAGACTGTGTCAGAATCTATAGTAAGGATTATTACAACTGGCACGGCTTTCCCAGTTATTTTTAATGATGATTCCATACAATATTGTAGACTGTCAAAAACAAGCACATTAATGTTTAGTAGAATATAAAGTGGCAAAATATGACACCCTGTTTAATGCCTGCTTACTGCTCAAGTGGCAAAAGTTAAGGAAAGGATATGATTTAGGATATGTTGAATTCATCAATCGCCAAATTATGTGACGACTAAGAGGTGCCAAAAAATAGTGTAAAACAAGTAGGCTGGGGTTCACATGCTGCAGCTGAAACACAAGGAGGAAAAAGCAAACTGAGACATTGTGAGCAATCAAAGACCAGTTTTGCTTTTTTTTTTTCTTCTTCTTCTTCCCAGCAGCCATTAGATCCATTTGAGCAGTGAGAGTACAGCTCCCATCCAAAAGTGATCTCATTATTGTTTTTGGCAGCGCCGGTGGTGAAGCCAGACGAGGTTGGGGAGTTTTCCAAGGCTCGTAGCTGTGACCGGCCACCGTTGGCGAGATGATGCATTCTTGGCATTGCGGCTTTATGTGTTTCACACCCAAAGCGTATTTGTTGCGCAGTACATTGCTGTTGAGCCATGCTCGATTGGAATTAATTTAAGCAATCATTCTATATTTGAATGGCGGTTGCGTTCACACTGGATGGCGTAATACAGGTGTGCAAAGAGTGGAAGTGTTTATGCAGAGAAACAGATGAGTCCATTTTTGTAGATTTCCAGAAAACATATTTTTTGTTTTTGTTGTTTGCTTGAGATGATATCAATCAAACTGAAGCTGAGTGGATCTGACTCAGTAGAAATTACAAAAATAGAGATAACTCAAGTTTGACTGCAGGTAGACGATGGAAAAGTGGGTTTTCTGAAGGTTTGTGAAGATGGACTTCTCTGTTTCTCTTCATATAAAACTGCCTCTGTTGCGACTGTGGTGTGTAAGCCCCCATGTGATAGTCCCTGTGACATTTGTGGCAGTAATCTAATAGCACAGGCTATTTATTTACACTACATCTGAGTGTCTGTGTTGACAGGAAGACTTGACCCCCTCTCACTATTCTCTCAGTTTTCACAGTCAGTACCGTGTTGCACATTCTTCCTGCTTTTGGTTCACATAGTTCCTGAGATCAGAGCACCAAAAGTACATAAAATAAAAGTCTTGCTTCCATGTGAAGATGAAGTGACTTGACAGAGTGACAGGGAGCCAGTACCTCACACACCCTTTGCTGGCACCTGTCACTCTTTTGTCATGAGGACACACTGTTCGTCCTTTGGACACAAGTGCTGATTGGTGTGGGGGAGCCGGCTGAATTAACAGAGGCTGTGGAGGATAGTGTAGCATTAAGGTCTGGGCAGTCCTCACCCCGAGAAGCTGCCGCCCGCCATCTCTCCCAACCCCTCTGCTTGAGACGCCTCTCTCTAAGCTCCAAGAGTGCCCTTTGTAGTTAAAGATAGGTAAAGACGAGCTGCTGAGGGAGGATGAAGAGTAAAGTGAAAGCCATGGAGAGTTGTGTCACGGTGTGGAACATTTGGCTCGTCGACGGCATGTGTCTGGTTGTTTCCTACTTCTGGCGTCGGCTGTGTGATGTGCTCTGCTACAGGAGGAGACGCAGAGCATCTGCCTTTCAGGTACATACCAAACCATTACTCAGACTTTAGCTGTAAGGAACACATTCTTAAACAAATGTAACTTGAATATTAACCCAAGAATGGAAGCAAATGCAGCTGCTTTCTGGATGGTTTGAGAATTCCCCCAAACAATCTGTCTTTTTCTTGTCGCTGTTGTTGGTTTTTACATCTTTTATTTTTCTTTTAAAAGCTTTTCTTTTTCTTTTAAACCTTATAGTAGGGATGCACGATATATCGGCAACCACATCAGTATCACCCGATATTAGTGTTTTTTCCGATATATCGGTATCGGTCCGATGAACAAATTTAGCCGGTGATTGTCTAACATCAGCGCCTTTGTCTCTACATTTGATATTGCTGCTGTTTCACAGATGTTTTTACTTAAATGGTCCTTGAACGTTAAATATGTTAAATACTATTGTTACGTAATAAAGACGACTATGTGGTCTAATTTGGCTTCTTTTTAATAGTTTTCTCACAGTGCTTACTTATACTCATTTTTCAGTGTGAACAAAAATTGAATATCGACATCAATAATATCGGTTATCGGCGATATCAGAAATCTTAATATCTAATATCGTTATCGGCCAGAAATGTTAATATCGTGCATCACTACCTTAAAGTACAATTTTGTTCTGTTTAGATTTATGCTCGCCTGTTGAAAACTAGCTTTATAAGATGCCTTTAAGATGCTAGAGCTAACCGTGCATCAGAAATAAAATGGTTTTCGAGGAAATGATCTTTGGTTCAGTCCACTATGAGCTATATTATTATTTTATTTAAGCTGAATTTCACATATTCATCATATTTCGTGGGCCTTTTTGCATCCAGATGGGCCCGTGCTGCAGAAAAAGCATTATTGCATTTAGAGATCTGTTTCCTTTTCCTTTGAAACTCTATCTGTGTTATTGTCCCTTGCTCCCTATTAAACAGAATGCCCAACTAATACTATAAATACCAGCAGAAACTCTGGGCTGTCTTCAGCAGAGAGGGCAGCAGCTGGTGGATCAGCAGCATTTAATAGCCCACATTACTGGATAATCTCGCCGTCCTCATAGAAATGTCTCACAAGGAAGGCTTATTAGTCATTTCATTAAGTATTTTCTGGAACAACATTTCTCGTATTGTTGCAAAGTTTACACACTGAGATGCATCAGGAGCTGGAAAATGAACCACAGTAGGTACATATATCTCTTATGTGGGAGAACCTTTTAGGTTTGACTTTCTTGAAATCTGTGGCCAGATATCTTCTGCTCTGTATTCTGCTCAGGAGAGTTGTCGCTTGGACTTAATCAGGTCTGTTTTTTTCTTAGTGTTATTAGGAATATTTGAAGATGCTATGATGCCA